TTTGCTGTCAATGGGTTTTCTTCAAGAGGAAGGCAGGCGGCCATTCACCTACACAATAAACAGCTCAAAGATAAACTGTTCTATTAAATCTTCTTCTGCAGCAAGCCATCAGCAGTTCACACAAAAGTTGTTACCACTCTTTATAGGCTAAAGTTGCATAAAACTGCAACTAAACGTATTCTTCTTATCCTCTTAACACCACTTTGTATAGCCCACTAAGCACTACAGATTTTCATCTGATTTTCCACACTTTCTGAGGCAGCAAAGAATCCCTTCTCTAGAAAAGCATTGCTCTGTAGTTACAAACCATCATTTCATATCCATGTATATACACACACATACATGGTTGCATAATTTATAATTGAGGTCTGAAGTGAGGAAAGAAATAAAATTTGCACACAACAACTAAGCATTTTCATTAGGGCCAACAGCAGTTCTTAAATAGGTTTGGAGAACACAGACCCACAACATAAAGACCAATAAGACAGCAAAGAAAATGGCTGCATTCAATTAAAGCTTTTACATCCAAGGGAAGAACAAATTTTATATATGCATAACCTACGTACCTTATTAAAATCAAGCTTGCCAAATGCTGCTTGAGCCCGAGGACAAACTTCTGCCAGAGCACAACTTAATTTCAAGAGGTCATTACAGCTACTGATGTTCTAGGTGTGGAGAGAGGGCATGAGTTACTGCAATTTTTAATAGCTGCTTGATGCTTACAAAAACAAAGTCAGAACAGTTGCACAGCCGCTAAAGTAATGTCCCACCTTAAAGTTTAGAACTTCATGGCTTTAATTGTACTTGGAAGCCTGCTCTCATATTTCAAAACTTCATGGAGAGGCAGATAAATATATCCCAAATAAACAGTCCACGTAGAGCATTTTTAACTGTTTAATTACCAGATTCTGCAAGAAATACACAGACCCCACGTATCAATCCCACCTCACAAACTTTTGTACATGATCAGTGTTCTTTGTATCTCTCTCCATAAACCCAAGAGACAACAGCCCTAGCATACCTCTCATCTCCTTACTTTGAAGGTTTAGGTTTTGGTTTAGCAAAGCAAAGCAGACACTTTCTAGTTACAGCTTGGTTAATGTGAACCACTGAGATGCTGGGTCAGATCCAATAGCATGGTATACATTCAACGTCAATTTTACATGTAATTCAAAGCAAAACATTCAGAGCTCTGAAAGAAAACATCAGTGCAGCCAAACATTCTGTCATCCTCAGAAGTACACTCCTAACTTCTGCACTTTGCAATATGAAATAAAACACTGTAACCAAGACTCAGAACACCAGGGTAAGAATGCAAAGGAGAATGAACTATTACATCTACTTTTCTTTTAAAAGAGGAAGCTGTTTCATAAACAGTACAAGCAAAGGTTGCTCTCTCCCCCCTAGCTCTTATTAACATGGCCAGTGCCTGCTGTGCCCATGGGGCTCGCAGTGAGACAGGTGCTGACTAACACACGCTCCATCAGTCAACAGATCACGTAAACCCAAAGCCACCTGGTTCTCTCTTCTCCCTTCTGCACCCATTAATGAAAGCTGCTACTTTTCATCTTACTCACACCTCCCTCCTGCCCACACAGCCTAAAATGGAAGGGACCTGATGCCTCAAACAATTCCCTGTTCAGTTCAGCTGAAATGGGTCCCACAGAGCAGAAGACACTCACCCACACCCAACCTGCCTCCTGGAGTACTCCTGTTGCCTGCTGCAGTATTTTGCAGGTAATATCGAAAACTTTTTTTTTTTTTAAACCAAATGGCTACCAAACATTTATGGAACAAACTACCCAGAGAGGTGGTAGAGTCACCATCCCTGGAGGTGTTCAAGAAACGCATCCACGTGGCATTAAGAGACATGGATTAGTAGATGTGGTGGTGATGGGCTGATGGCTGAACTTGATCTTAGTGATCTCTTCCAACCACAGCGATTCTACGAAAACCTGGCTACAGTTCAAACAGATGGACAGACAATTATTTTTGACTTTTTAGAAAAGTGATTGATTTCAGTTTTAAATGATACAGCACTTGTGATTCTGAGATCTAGAATAACCTTCTTTTTTAAACTCACCTGTGCCCAAAACGTTATGGCATCTTCAACATGACAGCCCACAACATCCTCAGCTTGAAGGAGGAAGAAAAAAAAAATAGTAATGAAACATTTGTGGTGGTTTAACCCAGCAGCAGCTGAGCACTACACAGCCCTTTATTCACTGCCCACCTCTCGATGGAGTGGGGGAAGAGAACAGGGGGGGAAACAAGAAAAAGTCACTGTTTGAGATTAAAAAAAAAAATAAGGCAGAGGAAAAAAGGATATGATATTAATACATAAATATACCAAACAAGCAGTACACAAAGCAACTGCTCACCACCTGCCAACCAATGCCCAGACAGCCCGCACGCAAGCAACTCTTTAGTTCTACGGTTTTTTCACATATTGCCCCAAGGTAGGGAATATCTGAGGTCAGCCGTTGTGGTTCTGCTCCCTCCCACCCCTCCTGGCAGGACAGCAGGAGAAGCAGAGAAACTGACAGGTCCGTGGCTCGGCGCAGCGCTACTCAGCAACAACCGCTGTGCTACCAACGCTGCTTTTCTCCTGCAGTCACAACAGCATCACACCGGGCGCTGTGAAGCAAAACTCCATCCCAGGCAAAACCAGGCTAACTCTATTCACAAAAGTAAGATTACACTGTTTGATGAAGAAAAACTTCACATTACCTTTTCCGTTGTCCGTGCCTTCATCCACACAAACACCCATGACAGAACTCATGACTGCCCCTGCAACACCACAGACTCCCTTCAGCTGAAGCAAAAGGCAGCATCACCCATACAGCCATAAGACCCTTCTCCCGCTAAAAGCAAGATCTCCACCCCTCAGCCCCCCTCTCTGCTCTCACCTTACCCACAAATTGGACCCCCGCTGAAGGAGCTCACAGCGCTTTTAACCACAAGGAGCCCGACCGCACGGCGCCACCGCCGAAGACTCGGCGCTCGCACGCGCTGCCGCCTTTCGCGCAGCTTCCCGCCGCTGGCCCTGCGCGTGCGCACAGCGGCCCGGGGCTGCCATGCGTGGTAGGGGCGGCTGAGGGAGCGAGGCCCTGGGGCAGGGCGGCGAGAGCTGAGCGCGTTTACCGCTTCGTTTTGGAGCGGCAGCAGGTCTGCTTTCATTAGAATCCTAGAATAGAATCATTCCGTTTGGGAAAGATCATCCAGCCCAACCACCAGCCCATCCCCACGGTGCCAACCGGCCACGTCCCTCAGTGCCGTACGCACACTGTTCTTTAAGGCCTCTGGGGACGGTGAGCCCGCCGCTCCCCTGGGCAGCCCGATCAGTGCGTTACAGAGACTTGTCAACGAGCCGTTTAATATGCACGACGTGCAAGAAAGACTCTGACAACTTGCAAAAGTAATTCTGCGCTGATTGCACCATTCTGCACCATTGCTGGCTGTGAATTCACACAGTTCCCTTCCTCCCAACCTGAGAAAGACACACATTTTATATTTAGCATCAGAGAATCAGAAGGAACCCCTTCTCCTTCCCTTATCGCTGGCTAGTCTTTAGTGTCATTAATATTACACCTCAGTTTTTCCATAGAGGATGAACACTAGTGAAAAAAATTATCTTCTACTCTGAGCACTGTAATAATGGCAAATACTCGTTTGAAAGCCAATTATTCTAAACACGAATAGTGGCTAAGTGCTGCCTCAGACCTACGCAATTACATTTGAACAGGTTAGAGCTCTCTATTACGACAAATCCCCGTATCTCCTTGCCCGATTCCTTGGATCAAAGTCAGGAGTAGTTAATGTGTGCAGCTGAATGACAGATAGATGCACACAGATAAATCATGAAGTGATAACTTATCTGCCTTCCAACATTCCGTCCAAAGTCCAGGACCTCTCTCAGGAAACAAGTTGTCAACAAGTGCACATGAAATTGAGCTCTTTCATGAACGCTGTCAGTGGCAAACACTTTGGCATCTGATCTCTGCTTTTACCTTTAACAAAATTCCTTTTTTTTTTAAATAGAAGTACAAAAATTGTGTGTTTTTTTTTTAGGATAATTTTGGATTAGTTACTTTGAGAGTCATTCTGATCTGCAAATTTCACACAAGACATGACAGCAGTCTCCAGTTTTCACAGCCAGCAACATTATAAAATATATTTCACTGATTTTTTCATATAAGGATACTAAAAATTCTGCAAGATGTTCTACAATGTAGTACCAAGAAGTCAAAAGCATGCCTTGTAGCAACAAACCAACTTGCTTTTACTTGAAAGTCGTCAACACTGGTGAAAAGAGGTCAGAACTCCTACACAATATCTAATGCAGTTGATATTTTTAAAATCCCACTATTTTCCAACTATAAAGTATTATCAATTACATGTAATGACTTTCTAGTGTCATTATACTGGAAATTTTAAATGTGTTTAAGCATGGAACAAAATTTTAACAGATTGACTAGGATAAAAAAGAGTTAATGATGTGTGAAGTTCAGTAAAACTGGATTTGGGCAAATCAAGCATTTCAAATTGGCAAGTATTTTTAACTTAAATCCTTTCCTTTTTCCTTCCCTTTTTCCTTTTTCCTTTTCCCTTTCCTTTCACTCCCCTTCACTGCCTTTCTCTTTCCCCATCCCTTTTCCTTTCCCCTTCCCTTTCCTTTTCCTCTTCCTCTGCTCTTTCCCTTTCCCGTTTTCTTTCCTTCTTCCAATGGAGAAATGAAACTATCAAAACCTCTCCCTGTAAAGTATATTGTTGTGATACATCTCATCTTTGAAATGTACACATGCATTTCTGGAACTGTGTTCTCCAATGGCTACAGCTATAGGGATAAATAGAAGACTGTTGGAATACATTTCTCACTTTATTTTGTAATAATCTATTGAAAAACAGAAATGTTATCTACGTGGGGTTTTTTTTTCTTGTAATTCTACTGCAAAACCACGCAAGGTACTATAGAAATGATTGCTTATAAGGACCAGAAGAGGGAGCTCAAATCAATATTTTTATTTATTAAGATAAAACCATATGTAACAGTGTAGAATTTAAAGGTAAAGATCTGTTTTAAACATTCAGTATACATTTCAATATATAATGCATTTAAACGAAGGTAACAGCAACACAGCACATGTCGCTGTGCAGAGCAGTCACAAACCTTTATTCTGTTTGCACTCAGATCCAGCCACCTCCATCAGTCACTGTATGACTCACACGCACTTCCAGGAGCCTTCCTTCTTTTGCACAGCTGCTGTTTGAAGAAAAGGAAGTTGCCCAAATGCATTCCACCTCCCCTGATTTCCTCCGCCAGTATGGTACATACAGACACCACCTTCAGTTCTCTGATGAGAATCAAAGCTTTTAAAGCTTCTGCCAGCTCTTGCTATAAAGTCTCAGCAGACACCACCTGAAAACCTTCAGTCCAAGAATCATGTTCAAGAGCTCTTAAGGGCAAACAACCTTACATCTCTGTTTTCAGGCAAGCCTACAAAGTTAACTCAGGCACAATTTTTGCCTCCCAATTCCAACCATCCTGCAGCCTCAGCCAGGTATTCAGCATTGTGCTACTTAACAGACCGAAAGCACCACACAGCGTTACCTAATTTTAAGTTTTCACACAAATGGCCACAACCTTTAGTACAATACATGCTGCCACAGCTGTGCACAGACAAAACAAATGGACATCTCCCGTCCTGAGGGACTCTTGCATTAGACATGATGAAAGAGAACCTGTTGGATAAAGAACTTTATATCAAGCGATATATAATTACTTATGTGCAATAAATAGCATATCCATGTCCACTTTATGTTGTCAAAAGTTCAGTCTGACAGTCACTGCTATGCAGACAGCAGGATCCTTTCAGCTAGCCAGTAATGGGTGGAAATGGGGTTGTGAGCACATGGAACTTCAGATGTAACAAATATACATCGGAAGAACAGAGCCTAGAGAAGTGTGAGAAACAAAAGGTACATCTGAATTTTATGCAACAGAGACGGAACCAACAGAAAGAAAAATGAACAATTTAATGATTAAAATGCTAGCGTTAATAAAACAAACACTACCGAGTACAAATCCATGAACAAGATGAGTCCTAGCAATTCTGTAAATAAAGTGTATCATAAAAGTCTAAGAACAGGATGTACAATACTTCCTTTGCCCTGCTGCAATGTAGTACTTTAAAACACACTTATTTCTCAGACCTTAAGTAACAGTTCTGTAAATCTCTAAATATGATTTTCCATACTTATATAACTTTATATACTTATATAACAATTCTAGCAACTAGAAACACTTGGATTAAAGTACCAAATTCATTACAAGATGATTAAAAATTAATTTTGGTAAAAGAACAGAACTGAATAAAGAAGGGAAGAAAGAAGTAAACAAATAGGTACAATGACAAAATATTCTTCAATAAACAATTAATATGTAATTAACATGTAATCAACAAGTAACAAATGATTAACCATGTAGTTAATGTTTATTCATTAAACTCATGGCTTCTTTGATGGCACCAGACTTTTCTCTTTTCCTTTAGCAGCCTTCTCCTTTTTCAGCTGTTAGAAAGAAAGTCACAACAGTGATTCAAGAGTTAATTTGCAAGTAGGCTAATAATGCAGTATTGAGCCTCTACAACCAGTCACAAATTTAGCAGCGATTTATGGGACAGGGAGAGGTAGAGATTATTCTTAGTTCAACCCAGAAGTTCTCACTTTTGAATCAAGTGACAAAGGAGTGCTTTCATAGCTCTGCAGCTCCTCTGCTATTCAAGCCAGGACTGCCTTTATTTCTGACAATGGCAATGCAGGTATTCCCTCAGTTCATGGATTAATCTTAACCTCAATGAAAATTACAGGTGTTTTATTACAGCAGTGTAACAGACACAGAACAACCGCCATGCACAAAATCACAGTGAAATTTTGTTGCTGAAGTAGATGTTAAACCTGCATCTCAACACCTTGCTCAGCACAGTCACCTCTTCTCAGCAGGTTTTTTCCACATAGTGGGCTCTTAGAGCATGGTATGATCTGCCAACACACACCTATTTCACCTCATCCATTTTGTAGTAAGACTTATTAATTAGTCCAAGCAAATGTAACTGTTGGTTTCAGAAGCAACAGTTTTCTTCATGTATTATTATAAAAGTGATAAAAGATATAAAAGTGACTGAAATCATAAAATAAAATGTTAAAGTGAATGAGATCCTATTTAGAGCAATTACACAAAAGGGGTATGTAGCTATCAGAAATGCAGGGAGAAAGAAAACAATATTTTTAACATGTTTTTTTTCCCCTGTGTAACACTAAGAATAAGCAAAGGATGAACAGAAGTTCTGCTAAGTATTCCTGTAGATGTCTACACATCTACACAGGAACTCATTTTAAAACATCTTTCCTTATTTGGAGTGTGAGGTCTGTAACTGAAATCCCTCCTAACTCTTGCAGAGAAAAGAAAATCTTGGCATGGAGAAAAGACTTAGCAATTTGAATGTTATGATAACATTTTCTCCTATAAATAGATCCCATATTTGCAACGTTTGACCACATTTTGTAATGATTTCCAAAATAAAGAAAATGACTTAAAGTTTCACAAAGCTCCAACAGCTTTCTTGTTGCAAGAAGCAAGTGTAACAGCAGTTGAGCTTTTAGGAGTTTTTATTAGTGTTATGAAGAGTCAGCAAATAAAAATCCATTTGTTTAAGGCAAATACCATCCAGACATGACTGACCACTACCATCCTGCAATAGCACATAATTGTATTTCAAACCTTACCTTAATAGGCTAGTTTTTCACATGAAGAGATGACATAATACATTTATATGCCACTTAAATTAGATGTTTAACTTTCTTAGCCATCACTTTTAGAGAATTTATTTAATTTAAGCAATAAATACAATAACTTGCCCGCTCCTGATAACGCTTCTCAAAATAAGCCATGTCATCTTCTTCTGAATGCCTTTCATGAGAAACTTGCGCTGAGGCACTGGAACCACCTACAGAGAAAAAAAAACAAAAAAACAAGAAAACTTTTCCACTGATGATACTCTCTATTCCACAGTATTGGCAAAACTAGTTTAAAAATGAGATGTGGTATGGATGTAGTAAAACACCTTGATATGCAAGTAACAAACCTCAGAAGTTGAACTAATGAGTATTCCTTTTAGTCTAAGGCTAGCAGCTATGATAAACAGGAATTCAACAGTGACATTAATGGCTAAATACTTTCTCAAAAGAAGGGATCTAAAACAAGCATAACTGATTCCTAATTCCATGAAGAAAAGACTTTCTGGCAGAAGGCACTCTTACTGGATTGAGCTAAACAACTGCATTAACTTCCAGATCAGCAGGCATCAAGACTTGTTTTAGTATTTAACTTTGATTTTTATCCCTAAACATGCTACAACTCATAAATAAATTAGATTTTATATGATACATTTACTGTAAGAAGTATTATTCTACTAATATACCACCTGCTAGCTGCGAGATGGTCTGAGCAGAGCCAGAAGGTCCCTGAAATGCCTTTAGAAATGGATGATCCATGCTGGTTACAGGGGATTCTAACAGCTCAGCAGAAGGAGTCCCTGTTAAAAAAAAAATAAGTTGAATGAAAACAAAAATTCACTTTGCAGGATGCATTAAAAACTTAGATGCTGGTGTCAAAACAAAGGTGTAGATTCATACAAACACTGTGCAGAAAAACGTTAAAGAGAGTGGCTTCAAAAGAAATGAAGATCTCCAGTTCTTTAGTTAATACAGGTACAGTATGGCTTCTAAACCACAACAAACTCAGGAAAGAAGATCAGAATATGAAAAAAGAAGCAGAGAGTGCATGGAAGTAATAAATAAAACAGTATATCAGAATAGAATGTGTCCATTACTATATGACACAAAACCTCAGAGCAGCAGAGGTTTCTAAGTCCAGATGTTTTGTGTGTGTGTGCAGAATGGGCACTGATCTACCTGGGGGGTGGGGGGTTAATGTTGGAATAATATAAAAAAGGAAGATCTGGGCAGAATTATGCTAAAGGATTGACATAAATACAAAATGAAAATTAGTATAAAAGAGAAGTTGCAGAATTATCTTTAAAATACATGCAATTCAGCTAGAAGCTACTGTGCTGAACACTGAAATTATTGACAGAACACCATTTTGATCATTTCACTATGTGAAGTTGGACAGGGCAGTCCTCAGACTACTGAGAAAAAGTCTGTCTTTAAGTCCTACTCCTTTTGATCCAGTTCACCTTCAGACTCTGAAAATCTCTGTTGAATGACTACTGCACAAAAATACCCAGTTGGAGCACTCAAATTTCATCTTAGGCCAGCTGCACTCACCTATTCCGCTGTCATCAAGTCTCATGTAGCCTTCTGCCAGTGAGCTGAAGCCAGTCAGTCCTCCCATAGCAGCATAGGGAACATCCTGCCCAACTGGCCTTCCCTGGGCTAACCGCTCTTGTTTAGTTTCCACTACTGTTTCATGTGCGTATGTCGGCTGACCGCACCCACAGGTAAAGCAGCTGTGAAATCCTGAACACGTGGAACCTAATTAACAAATAAATAAATGTTTTGAGGGAGATGGTAATGGAATTTATACCTCACAGCAGACCAAATGCTATTTCTCCAAACTGATCAAACTGGTCAAAAACTAGAGTTTCTTCACTGCAAAAGCATCCAGCCACATCTTCTATAGGGAAGCTTGTACATGATTTGGTCTTTGCTCAGCCTCATTTCAACACAGCATGAAACAGATATAGAGGTGTATCTGCCCTAAGTAAGGCTCAGACCAAATATCATAAAGCTCTGCTGGAGAGAGTTCTGCACAAGAACTACAGATGTTTCGTTATTCTTTTAGGAGTGCATTACAAACCTATTTATGACCTGCCCCTAACTAATCTCAGTTACAGGTCATTTTGTAGAGCCATTCTCAGAATCATGAAAGGCTTGCTTACTTCATTTTGGGCACTCTTCAGTCATTGAGTTCTTACTCTGTATTTTCATACAAAATATTGTATGTACCATACAGTAAGTACTTTTTTAAATGTTAATATTACATCTAATTTATCTACCATGTTTGACAGCTGGGCTAGAGCAGCACTAGTACAATAAAACAACACTGAAGCAAGTCTTAGCCCTTCTCTGTGCGATCTCTGAAGCTCTCAGAAGTGCCTGCTCTTTTCAAAAGCACAAGAAAAAGTGTAGGATATAAATGATTATTTAAAACATTTTGTTCTAAGGTTCCACTTTGAACCATCCAACTGCACATTTAAGTCTTACACATTATTCAGAGCAAACACTTGAAAGGTTGTCATAACATAACATAACATAAATATTTTATGTTAATCCTGTGGGATGTGATTCTCACCTCATCCAGCAAAAGCTGATTATGATTTTTACTGTACATATTAAATAGATTTCAAGAAAGAAATTCACTAATATTATAGAAATCTAAGAAAAAATCTTCAGCTTATATGATGTGAGGCTCCAAAGAATTTTGTGCATTATTTAATTTCTATGGTTATTACTGCTGTTTCATTACAATAACCTCAATCAAGCGAAGCAAAAAGCTTCCCCCGAATGCTTTCCCAAACCTTTTGTGTGGGATTTTGCTGCCATTTGCCTTTCTGGACCAATAATCAGTATCTTCAGGAACTGCTTTGTTACAGCGTTAGCAATTCTCTGGGCAGACACAGCTCCCAGTCAGTTCACAAGTGAAGGTTGCTGCAAGCTGATGGTAACTTACACGAGTTGCAGGAAAATCCAGGAGCTGCACTGTGCTGATCAGCAAAGTGTTTGCACCTACAGCGGATGGGCTGTGTGCCATTGAGAGGAACGTAGTGGTAGGACTGGCAGGGACAGTGGCTCACTCTGCACGGCACACAGATGGGACGGTCTTTGGGAATCACTTCGTAGTCTGTTTTGTGTTGTTTATACCTGAAATGGGCAAAAATAACAGCTTTTATAACCTTGTTAGTACGTGTGATAAAACTCGTCAGAAGACTTATAATTTACCTTACAACTTCTGAGTTGAAGGATCTTTAATTATCTTAATTACTGTTAATTACTGGTGTTTAATCAGATACTTAATATTAGGTATATTTACATCCATCTATTTTATAAATATTACAGATAATTATGTTTCACTTTGATAACAATGTCGGAACCAATCCCACCTACAGATAACTCCGGCACAATCAATCTGATCTACAATAACTTGTGCCTTGAAGCTGAATTTATTGATGGCTGCAGAATTCTTTTGGCCTGCACAAAAGTTACTGGGATTTAGATTAAAAAAAAAAAAATCTCATGATTCAAAACCTAATTTTCCAAAACAGACCTGAAATTAACTTGCCTGTGCTTTATTTGGATCTAGAAAATTGTAAATTTCTTTGATGTAAAAAGAACACAAAGGTGCAGAAAAAAAAGCGAAGAACCCCACCGGTGAGTACAGAAGCACAGCGTCTCTGGTCCCACCAGCTTGCAGTCCATGCCCGTGGGGGATCTCCAGCTGACGTACAGCCTGTTCTGCAGCCGGATGGGCAGCACCTTTCTTTTGTACTCCTCGTATTCCTCAGGGGTAAAAAGCTTTCCTCCATCATCATCACCTACAATTCTGTAAGCATGTCATAAAAAAGTCAAAAAGGAGAAAGTAAAAGGTTTCCCACTATATCAAACAATACATAACGGTATTTTTGCTGTAAGAGCAAACAGTTGTGTATTACTATTCTAGTAATATATTAGGTCTGTTCCAACAGTGATGCCCAGTATTTCATTATACTGGCCCACAAGATTGGAGGTGGATGTTGGTGGTATGGCAGCACAGGTTGGACATTCCCACCAATATCCTGTTACATGGCATTGCCTTGTGACAGATGGCAGTGGAGGGGCAGGCTGAAGAATGGCATCTGACATGGATGTGTGTATGAAGCAAAGGTGTGCCACTCAACTCCTCCATGAAGAAAAAATGGCACCCACTGACATTCATCAATACATGCTGAATGGTAACGGAGGCCAAACAGTGGATGTGAGCACAGTGAGGCGATGGGCAGTGCGTTTCAGCAGTGGCAACTGTGAGGGAGTTTGTCAGGTCCTATGGAACCAGTATGAGGCTGAAGGCGACAGTTTCCTGGATAACATCATCACCTGTGATGAGATGTCATATCATCGCTACGAGCTAGAGGCAGGATGGCAGGCCATGGAGTGGTGACACGCAAATTCCCCATCAAAGAAAATGTTCAAGACACTGCCTTCAGGTAAAGAGATGGGCACTGTCCTTTGGGACAGGAAAGGGGTGATCCTTCTGGATTTCCTGGAACTTGGACAAACCTTTAACTCTGACCTCTGACTGAGCTGAAGGCTCAAACTGCCAGTCAGGCCAGAGAAAGCAGCCTTTCCCTTGTAAAACCTTGTAAAACCATAATGCCAGGCCACACCCCATTCAGAAGACTGCTGATCTTGGCTGGGCACTCCTACCACACCCATCAGGTAGTGCAGACTTGGTGCCTTCTGTTTGGGCCGATGAAAGATGGGCTGTGTGGGCAATGTTTTCCTAGCGGTGATGTTTGCCACAGTGGCTATGAAGCAGTGGGTCACCTCCACTGCAGATTCTTATGAGGGTGGCATGCAGGCTCTCGTTCATCATGGGCGACAACGCACAGCTGATGGTGGTGACCACGCTGGAAAGTAGTGCCTTGTGGCTGAGAATTTGCTCTATCGAATACCGTTACTGTGCTCACTCTGTTGTAGTTTCCATGGAAATAAACGGGAGGCATTACTTTCGGTGCGATCCACCCGCGTTTCCCAGAACTCCCCTCCCCTCGGGATGCCCGTGCCGGGCCGGGCCCCGCTCTCACCGCCGGTACTCCGCGTACTCCTCCAAGGCCGCCGCGTCCGCCGCCAGCCGCTCCATTCGCGGACCGCCGGGCAGCGGCCGCGCACCCCGAGCCTTGCAGGCGCGCACTGACCGCGGCGCGCGGGGAGCGGCTCCGTGCTGCGCTCAGCCCTTGGCTGCTGCCGGTACGGACCTGTTTGCTTCTCGTCCTGCTGCCGTGCCTGTAAGCAAACAGAAGTCCTGGAAACGTTCCGTGTGAAATAAAGACTAACACAGCCCCGCGCGGCTTGGCTTTCACTGCTTGTTCCTGCAGTATAACGGAAGCCATCATTGTTCAGGGTAGTAGGGGTGGAAGCGGCCAAGAAACGGATTCGTCACCCACCGTGCAGTAAGTCAGTCAGCTGTCACGTGCTCGGACAGGCATAGCTTATGTGGTTGAGGACTGCACACCCAAACCAGCCACGTACAAATCCTCGCCTTGAACTTTTTTTGCAACGGGGAATTCACGTTGCTGCTCCATGGACTGCTGCTCTGACTCTGGCTCGTAGAGGTGACACCAGTTCTCATCACTGGTACTACCCGCCACATCACTGTTCAAACACCTGCTGTTTGGTCTCTATAAACATGCAGCAAATGCTAATGAATGTCAACAGTGCCATTTTTTCCCACATGGAGGAACTCAGTGACAGCCCTTTGCTTCATCAATGCTTCCATGTCAGATGCCATCCTGTCAGATTACCCCTCTGCTGCCATCTGTCACACAGCAATGAAATGTAGCAGGATATTGATGGGAAGCTTCAACCTGTGCTGCCATACCACCAACATCCACCTCTGACGTCGTGTGCCAACATAACGAAATCAGAGGTATTGCTTTCAGACCTGCCTTCATATGTTGTGTAATTCTTGATGCTGAAGATAACTATTATGACTCACCCCACAATGTGCACATTTAACAAAGAGCCCACCTCCCCTTGGTCTCTCCCCACCCTCTGCCAGTCCTGAATGTAATTTTGTACATCCTGAACCTAAAGGTTCCTCCAGGGGTGAACTTAGACGTTATGGAGCATTTCATTCTGGTGAATGAAGACATCTACACAGAATGTGAAGGATGTGACCCAGCAGCAGTATTTGCTGTACAGCACAGTCCCCATCATTGTGAAGTAATCCAGAGCTGTTGGTCCTAAAAAATCACTTGCCCTTTACCCAGCACAGCTTGGAAGATCTATTTCATGTAGAACACCAAAGCTGCCTCCTGCTATCATAAATGTTACCTCCAACTCATTAATGTTCTTTGAAAGCTCATCTTTTATGAAATAAATCATCCATAGTTCAAGACAAAAGGAGGCCAACTGAAGAAACAGCCCATAGCCACAGGTGCTTCTGGCAACCTGCAGTTCCCCCTCAGCTCTCAAAGCACCACAAGCAGCAGCACAACTCCTTCTGCAGCATGCAGACCACAGTGGTTGTTTCTGATACTTACTACATTATCTATGAATTGACTGCCTGATGCAAACACATGGACCCTTGCACTTCCCACACAGTGACTGAATGTGAGAGCATAGGATATGGTGTATTTTTCTGGACCGAGCTTTAGGAAATTGATGTTGAAATTGCACATCAGCATAAGCCATGAGCTCATACTCAGGCTGTCACAGCGAGAGGGAAAGCTTTTCCAAGCAGCGAAGTGACAGATACCTATTGAAAAATTCATGGCTGTTCAAAGAAATCTCTGGATTGCTTTGCACTGGGCAAGCCATCAGCAAGGAAACAGAAGGTGAAGAGGTGTCGGTGTCACAAGGACCAAGGTAGTGCTTTGCCAATGCCTCCCCCAGAGAGCTGAAACCACAGGGACACTGTCAGCTTTCCAGCAGGATCTGAGCAAGGTGACAGGGCATATGGTTGGGCTGTTAGCCCTGTGGCTATGCCCCACGTATAAGAAATGGCAGCAGAGCAGCCAGCACTGCAGCACAGATCTGCCCCTCTGAGCTCTGTACCCAGAATTTATACATCTTAAAGGCAGAGATGATGTGGGAGCAACTCATGGTGGCAGTCAGCGCTCCTGCAAAGCAGCAGTTAGACGAGGAAAACAAATGTCAGGAATGTCTCTCCAAGAAAAAAAGAATTCCTACAGTGACCAACATTTTGAAACAGACAGGGGAGATGGAACTTCGAAAGCAGGAGGACAAGCCCTGCACACATGGAATTAGCACATACTGTGGAACACAGCGCTGTACAGGAGCTGCACTAAAGCTGGAATGCCTCATCTGTACGCACATTTCATCAGTGCCAGAGATCCCAGCTCTGCCAATAAAGTGAGAAGTGGCTCTGGCAAGCTTGGGTCACACAGAAGGAGCAGAGTTTCAGTATCACACCTTCCCATACCTCATCCAAGAAACTTTCATATAAAATGGTGCCCTTAAGTAGTTTGGGTTCAGAATGCAGAACGATGTTTCTGAATAGGACAGCTGTTGGTGAGGGCTACAAACATTCATCTGTACCATATTTCAGCATCAAAATACCTACAAGCAGTCAGTGTGAAGGTGTTGGGACTAAGAAAAATTTTTGTGGGCCACCTGCCCCAGAGCAACTAATCCTCTACCTTAAAAACCAAGGCTCTATTAACAGGTTTGATCCCAGCAAATTATCTCTGTGACAAAGAGCCAGTGTTCAGCTCAGCAGTGTCCCAGTGTCTGTTTGGATCCAAATTTGTGCTCACCAGTTTCTTTGGGAATGGACATAAAGACTTCAACAAAGAAATCCATTTCTAAAATTATAACATGGCTATTTCGAGCACCCAGTGCTCCTGTGTCACAGCAAAAGTACCAGAATACATTTTGGATTCAGAAAACCTTGTCTTGTCTCCATTCCTTTTAAGAGATTGTTAGTGGACATCTGAAATCACAATCATTAAATACCAAGCCAAACCAGTCTTTGCACAGTAAACCATCAGATTAGCACATGTGGGGCTTTCTGCTACTGCAAACAAAGAGTGCCAGAAGGTAAGTTCAAAAAACACAAGGCCAGGCTGGATGTGGCTCTGGGCAGCCTGGTCTGGTGGTTAGTAACCCTGCACATAGCAGGGGGGTTGAAACTAAATGATCATCGTGGTCCTTTTCAACCCAGGCTATTCTATGATTCTATGAAGTCCAGATGGCTGTTTTACCTCCCGTGTCTGCCACGTAGCATACAAGCATTGCTGGCCCAAGCTCTCGGAACATATTGAAGTGGGCTAAACATATGGACACTCACCCACAGGACAGCTCCGGGAGACCTGAGGTGCCACCTACACATCAAAGGCAACAGATTAAAGCTGCGCAGGGTGCTGACACTCTCCATTAACACCCTCTGTTAACAATGAAATGTGCAACTTTTAAAAAATCCTGGCAAGTTCGAGAAGTGCTTTAAAAATCACCTCAGTGGAATACCTATGTAAATAGAAAAGAGCTGATTTATTAAAGGAATAATAAGTAAATCAGAAATAACTGTATTTTAGACTCTTAAGTCATCCTTTTAAAGTAGTAATCAGCCATTCTGTTTGTATGTGTTTGGTAAATGATCATCTCTAATTAGCTGCTCCAAAACTGAGACCAATTAGAGTAGCATAAAGAATAATGGAAACAGTCTCCATCCAATTGTTTCCTCCTTCCACACTTCTTACCAATATTCTGATATACTTGAAAACAAAAGCTATCGCTATCCGCTTCTAGCGGTGACCATACAATATGCTACAACTAAAAAAACAAACCTTATGATTAGCTCTAGCTCACGGGCACGTAAAAGATGTCAACACATTTCTTTTCAGTTTTGCCATCATAGAAACAGACCATGATTAGACATCTACTGACCAACCACAGGAAGTTGATGAATGAACCAAGGGCCAACTCATAATGAAAGGTTTTTACTGGAGGGCTTAGAAACAGAGGTGGGAAATTTGTAGTAATTACATCACTTACTGGTAATTCTGCAGCACGTGATGCCACTGGCATTTCAGTGGTGTGATTACACTGACATATATCATGTGATTTTTTTTCCTTCAACTTGGGCCACATTTTAAGAATCTTAATGACATTTTAAAGAGATACAAAATGTATGTGTGCATCATCCCAGAGAACCCGAGGCTTTGTGAAGCATCAATTCAGTAACAGTCTATTCCATGGGCGTCCAACCTTTTGGTGGGCCTAGACTTGATGATTCCACAGGTCCTGTCAACCTTAATGATCCTGATTGCACGAAGAGGAATTGTCTTGGGCCACACAAAATATATAGTTGATGTATAGAAGTTACAAAACTTTGTATTTTATTAAAATATAAAAAATAAGGCAACAAAAACAAAAACAAGTGGGATACAACATCGCAGAAGTCTGATTCACCTTTTTAGCTGCTATAAAATTAAAACTTGCCTCTGAAAGAAAACCTTTTTCGTACTGTCAAATATATTAGCTCAAATCCTGCGGGCAGCCAGCCGGTTGTGCAACACAAACTGATCAAAGTCCTGGGTAAGGAGGTCGCATTTGGGTTAATCGTTAAAGATGTCCACTGACACCCTGTATCATCTGAAAAATAAATCACCAATTAACTGGTTAAGAAGTTTAGTTCATTCCATGAATTTGATGGTTTTGAAGACATTTTAAGAAAACTTAATAAACTTAGATTTCAAAGTTCATGTAATTACTTTCCCAATCATTTTCCTGTGGCAGTTAATTCCACATTAAGTATCTGCACAAGGAAACACTTGGGTCCCTTGTGCAACTTGCCTCCTTCGTGAGTCTGACGATGCCATCTGGAATTGTCAGCATTAGATAATTCTACTCAAAAATATTTGCATCTATCTAGCCAGACCCCATTAATGACTGCATTAAAGAAAAGCGAATATTGAGTAGATACTTGGAATAGACAACTGTGCAGCATATTACTGGCTGCCAAGAAGATAGATGTTTCAGAGCACTGTCTACAAAAAATACTACATTCTTGTGCTACACTGCTGTATTACTACTTTTTATTTCATTGGACACAGATCAGAAAAATTCTGTGATCCCAAAAATGGATGAACAGATTTGCTTTGAGCAGTTTTAGTGGGCGTCAGTGGAGTATCTGTTCATCCATCCAAAGTGTGGGACCACTCAGCACCAAACAGGACCGGCCACAAAGAAAGGGGCAAGATGTATCTTGGATACTGATATAATGCTATACATGCCCTAGCAATGCTGCTTTCATGTAAAAATAAGTACAACAAGCTAGTTGAATGTTTTGAGTTTGCTTCTTGATAAACTGTATTATGAAAAGAACATTCACACTATTGCTTGCTCACTGTTCTTCCTACATACACACACACACACACACATTAAATACAAGACAACTCATGTAAGTCATTGTGACACTGAGAAAAGCAACTTCACTAATGCAACCATGAATTACTATGAGGGGTACATAACTGCATTTAAGTCAGTATGTCTGTTTCCAAAATCCTATTCAAACTGTGTGTTCACAAATATACACCTGGCAGCTTTTTTTTTAGGCTTCTTTAGCAATCCTTAAATTTGTTTTTGACTTCATATACCCTTACAAGAAAAAGAGAAGATGCTTTACATACACAAAGACACCTCCATTACTCTTTATAGTGCCAAGGAGCACCACCAAGGTTTCTATTGCTACAGATCAAACAGACAAGGAATAAAAAGCACAGAGAGATATAAAAACCTACCTCTACATTACAAACTTGCAGATGGCACTTCTCTTACTTTTAATTTAAGAGTGGGGTCTTCATGATTAAAGATTTAAAACAGGTCTGTTTTGTTACATTTCAGTATCTTTCTCCACTCACCTCCAGTCTGAAAGTTTCCCAAACATTAGACAGTAAGAGGATCTGGTGATTCAGCTGCAAGTGGAGTAGATGTTACCACTAAACCTCCTACTAGACCTCAGAGACATACAGTTTTCCTGAAACACCTGAGGCACATTAAGAATGACAGCACTGTTAAAAAAAACAACACACAGGAGTCTTTGTAAGTACAATTAAAAATTTATTTTTCTCTTTCTGCAAGGAAGTACAACTTTACACACAATTTGACAGGAAAAAAAAAATGTTATCTGTCTGCTATGGTTCTAACTATGTTTTCCATCATACAAATCCAGAGTAACAGCAGGGGAAAAAAAGAAAAAAGGACACGGAACTTTGGATGGTATATCATCCAGCACCTCCATTTTTACTGCATGTTTTTCCTTAATTAAAATTAGACCATTACTTAAAAAAAAAAAAAAAAAGCAAAGAAAAAGACCCATCACATTAAAAGATAAATAACTAGCACATTTTTGGCAAAAGTCCCTGAACATACCCTTCCCCTCCCTGCAAAACATTCACCATTCACTACATTTTAAAAAAGCAGGCTCAGTGGCACTTGAATATGACTTCAGTAACATTTGGAATACAGTGCATCCACACTGCAATTCGCTTTGCTATAAGGCTAACTTAGACATAAGGCAAACATTACCTTAGCTCTGAAATATTCCATGGTAAGACACCTTTAGTACATATCTCTGTTAAAGGCAGAGATGCCTCGTCTCCCTTCGCTGCTCTCCCTCCTAATAAGGAAGCATTTCAGGGAGCTGGTGTGCTATTCTCATCACAAATCACAAGTTACTCATGAGTTAAAAAGAAACAGCAGTGAATAAAAATAAACAGTATTCACATATCTAAAACTTATTTCCATCACTTAAATAGTTTCATCTGCAGTTAAAAAATACATACACTTAAATATCTTAGTAAGAAACAACTGTAAGATATCACAGGTTATGTTTGCTTCTCGTAATCTAACTGCCTTAATTGTGACACACGGATACACCTGGACAGTGTAACTACCTGGGATGTTTTCCTATTGTAACTAATTCTCTTAAATATACAGTAAGTTCTCTCTAGCTACTCTGATAGTGCAAATAAAGACATTCTTTGGGTCACAATTCTAAAACGCTATCCCCCCCAAAGCACTATCCTCAATTTAATATTTTAGCAAATGAGTAACAAAATACTGTTAAGTGTACACGCTTTCTAACATCTGTTTAACGATGTTCTCCTCAGTTACCTGTTTAATGCAGATCACAAAAATGAATAAGCTACAACGCTGCTCACCTACCCAAAAGATATGCTATATTTATACTTAATTAAATACATTTATAAACCTACCTCTAAGTACCTCATTGCTGTCCATTTATTGTTATTACCCAAGGGCATACTACATCAAATCATGATATCAAAATATTTTTAAAGACAACAAGGATCGCTTCAGAAGCACTGCTCAAAGGCAATGAAATAGTGCTTTAACAACCTGATGCACATAAGTTAGGCCTATATATATACACACATATCCAGGCATTCTTCAACAGAACAGCGTATGCTTCATTTAGAGTCAGCTACTGCTTTGCCCCAGCCAGAGATAAAGCTTGTCTTAATTATGACCTATCATACATGTAGCAACACAACACAGCCTGCTTTGCTATCTAATGTTGCCAGCTGCTTTTGCACGTTTAATTGAATTTACTGATACTTGGTTGCTAGTTCCATTAGTGGTATTTGTTGCTGAACCATTCACAATGATGTAATCCACTTTGTTTTCCAATTTCACAAGACGCTGTAAGATGTCATCCAGAAGAACAGCAATTGTCCTCTTAAGATCAGCTGAAAGGCAATGAAACAAACTCCTGTTATTTATTGCGTGCAGAAAATAACTGCTATTTCAAAATATTCAGATCTTAGTTTGTTATCCTGTGTAATATTCTATTTCAAAAAGACTGAGGGGTGGGAGAATTACAAGTTTTTGTGTTTGTTTGTTTTAAATACAATTTCTTTGTTACTTTAGGAAGATACCCTCATAATACTAAGATGTAAAGCAAGCCAGCTAAATATTAAGAATCTAAGAACAAAACTTCAAGTTCAAACAGAAGGGTGGTGATTCTTTAAAGGCAGTATTTCAAATTTCACCCAGATAATATCCACGTGTCACCATTCAGCTTTGGACAGTGATAGAATATTTTTAAATCCCTTCCAATATAAAAGAGTAGTTACTAAACACTTTCCTCCAAGTGACAGAAAATCTGCTGTTAAAATATATCATATACACCTACATAAGCTATAAAGCACACCGCACCACTATCTTCTCTCAAATTTGGGACAAAGATGACATTTAAACTTACCTGGTACTAAAATCAAAATAATCAGTACAGAGAGATATTTTCTCTTAAAGAGCAATCAACATATATTGCTTCAAGAAGTACAACCTCATGGATTCCACTTAAAAAGTTATCTGAACAATTATGATGCTTTTTTTTCCCCTCTTACCATATCCTGCTACAGAGGCTCC